GTTAGCTAATATTACGAACAACCTTAAGACAGGAAATTACAACTGCTCACGTCTCAGACCAATGACAAACTGTTAACTAAAATGTTGTTTACAGATAGTTTTAACAGAAAGACTGGAAGTGTGATTTAAATGAAGCTATTGTAAAATGATGCAGGCTGCTGTTAACACTGCTAACCTTGTACCGTGAGAGAGGAAAACATTAAAGATGGCGTCCTGCCCAGAACGCACCTCAAAATTACGGTGACCCACAACAAACAACAAACAAAACCGGGATTCACCTGGGAATAAACATCGCAACTGCGACACCCAGTGGCACAGAGTAGACTTTAGTTTGCTCAGGTTATGGTATTATATGCTCAAAAATTCCCACCGTGCGCTCAGAGATGAGGCAGAAAAATAACTTCATATTTTAACAGTAATTACTCTAAATGTATGCTTAGAATACAAACTACAAAGATGGTTTCCCTTTTACTGATATTCTGTTTGTGATATGCAAACGTTTGTGTTTGCCTATTTTACAGTCAGGCCAGTAAATGTTGCACTGCTCACATTATCATCAAGAAATTAACATTTTCTCGAACCACTTTGCTGAGAAAATAAATTCAAAGCCGACGCTGTCGGACTTACCTCCGGTACCGGACAGTAATTCTTCTTGCAGACTGCATATAAAGCCTGGTGGAAGTTTCAGAGAGTTTTGACCGTGGACTGTTCTCAGAGCCAGGCATGGGCTTGCTGCCACCCTTCTACTTTTTGTCTTCTGTATTTAAAGCAAAGTTGGCGCCTTTCAGGCCCAATGCCCGTATGTGCGCAGTGCATTAAAGCAGACAGATGTGCGCACCTCTGGTTTTTCCCCGCACGCCCCGTTTCCTGTTCGTCCGATTTCCAAAGCTGTCCCAGGTACGAAAAGTTTCTGCGTTTATTTGTTCCCCAGTTAACTTTTCTTATGCTGTTATTCACATTATTCTGGGAAAGACTCAGGGAGAGATCCGGCCGAAGTGCGGTCCGCCTGGTTTTCGGACTCCAGCAACCCACAACCACGTTTCAAGCCCACCACACGTGCTGGACGGCCATTAGGCCTACTGTTCCGGCGGTACGGGGCCTGAACGGTTTGTTCATTTCCCGCTATTTTCCCCATGCCAGCCCTTCCCGAAGATGCAGGATGGAATAAGATTACTTAACGTGCTGTTTTATTAAAAGACACATTTACACAACATATGAACTCAGATTCTCATGGACACAGAGTAAACCAGCATGAAGTCCACAAGCAGCAGCAAAAATCAGTACTGCAAGTATAAGTCCAACAGTACCTGTGCACGAAGTTCAAGTTACTAATAAATAATAATCACAACGTTCATAAACGTACAGTTCATTAATTTGAAAGCAATTTTAACTAAATGAGAGGTTTAAATGTCAGATATGTTACTCCTGGGCCCAAGGACAGTTAAATCTGAATTATCTGCCTTAAAGCTAGAAATCAGAGAGAATTCAAAGATCACGGGGGGCACTGACTTTGTGAAGAATCAACAGATGTGTATTCCTGTAAAATATTGATTAAATGTCAAGGGATTAAAATGTGGAATGCAGGAATTTCAATTACTCTTTTTAATTGAGTCAGGCTACTGAAGTTATATAGCTGAAATTACTTTGAGCCACTAAATTACCTCACTAACCCCATAATCTGTGTAAAGTACCCCCTAACAGGTCGCATCCAGATTTTGAATTGGATATAAATCTTAAAATTTGAAACACTAATTTTAGTGTAAGAAATTACACAAATAGTTTATGGCCTCACAGCATCAGAGCCCCATTCATTGTTACAGAATAAACTGGGATGACATTCCACATTTTAAGGTTCTCCCTTTGGTTTCTTACTTTAGAGGAGAGTGCAGCATGTTCATAAATATTCACCAGTTTGCTCTGGGGCACAGGAATAGCAAATGTGAATTCTTAAAAAGGGTTAGATTGTCCTTTAAATGCCCAATACATGATTGTGATAGTGTTCCATCCTCAAAGCATCTGGAAAAATAATTAAAGTCATTATAGAAGCCTATTGGGGACTATTGAGATAATCATGTAAACTTGAAAAAGAAAATGTTTTGCTGAACAAATTTATGTGGATCTTTTGGACTTTTCTCTAAGCTTCTCTAATCATGTAAAATATTGAATAATTTTAACTTTTGTGAGCCATAACTCTGTGATGAGGGAACAGCTTTCTGTGCTCCAGGAATTTGCCATTGGAGTCGATAAGGACTGCAGTTGTAAGTGTGCTGGTGATGCAGTGGTCCCTGTTCCTCTGTAATTGGCTCTGCTGTGGCCAGGCGATGGACTGTATGTAGGGCTGGAGAAGTACAGTTGTCTTGTGGAGAACTGGATAGTCTGGCCTGTGCTGTTAACTGGATGCTGAGGCCAGTCTGTGGAGGACTGGGGAGACTGGGCTGGGGCCAGTCTGTGAACCTGTGTCTCTCATCTGACATCCTAAACAGCTTCTCCTTTAGATTGACAAGAAATGTGTCTCTCTGCTCCACCTCTTTTCCCATCTGATATAGTTCATATCTGAGAGGTTCATTTTCTCTCAACTGTCCGACAGCAGTATTGCTTTCTTTGTTAAACTGTTTCATGTCATTTTTCAGCAGCTGCATTGTGTCAGACTCTCACAGTTTAGGCTGTGTGGACACGGGACATTGGAGCGAGAGTTTCCACTCTGCTCAAGTCTCTTTCAAACTCTTCCAGTTTTGTCTGAGACCCTTGAACCATCTCTGTGCCTGTGCTGTGAAAATTGATGCTGAATCTTGATACAGTATCTGTATATAGCTGTCAGATAGATTTGTTGCCAGTCATTTTAAGGTCATTATATTGCCAAGCCATATTATAATGCCAAGCTTCTGGGTTGCTCTGTAGATAACAGCAGGTCTGTTCTTACTGCTCTGTCACCTTGCCTTTTAAAGACTGATCTGGGTGGCTCAGGGTTGGTCTCTGAGCAGCTTACTTCTGTAGTTCTTCCTCCCTGCTTCACTGATCATATCCTGTGGGTGGTGGACCCCAAGACTATTTAGACTCCATCCATCTGGTTGTAGTTGTTTTGGGTCTGTGTTTCCAACTGAGAAATTACTACTGTGATCTCCACTTTCTTTATATACAGAGCAAAGGTGTTTAGCTAGTTAGCTAGTAGCTAGTCCAGTTTTTTATCTTAATTCATCCTTATTCATGTTTCTCTCTTTTTTTAATCTTTGTTGTTGCTTTTCTCCTTTTGTGTCATTTAAATAGTTTTGTCCTTGTCTAGTTATGAGGTTCCATGGCAGTTAGCTGGCAGTTGACTGTTTGTGCTGTTACCACTTAGCTTGCTAGGTAGCTAGCTTTTCCCACAGTTTTGTTTACTGATAACCCTCTTTGTTCCCAAACTCTTAAAGCTTAACATCAAGCTTGCCACTAAAATTAATCTAATAGTAATTAAATTATTTGCTCAAGTTGGAGCTCATGTTTTGTTGCTTCTTCTCTCTCTCTCTCTTTCCCCATCTCCCCCTCCCCCTCTGACGCCCCCCCACCCTCTCTCCCTCTATTTTGGTGCTTCCTCGCGCTGCCAAGCCCCTGACGTAATGCTCCGCTGTTAATGATTAGCATGTGGAAACGAGCAGCGCGACCCCTCTTTGCGTCAAAGCGGCCAAAACACAGCCGGAAGTTGACCGTTCCTGCCTTCAAAGTAAGAGCGCGGGCGTTTATCAAACGGCTGTCGGAGGTTGTACACAACAATAAACACCATCACAATGAAATTAAGTTAATGCATTAATTTTGTTTTGGAATAACTATGACGAAAAACACAGTTTTGATGTTAGCTGCTGGAATTCCCCCACTGTACTTTGTAGCTACAGTCATAAGGTACTTGTACTTGAACTATATTTTCATTTTATCCTACTTTATACTTCTACTCCACTACAGTTCATGGGCAAACATACTTTTACTCTGCAGCATGTATTTTGTAAATTAAATAACTTTGAGATTTCAGATTAATAATACAAAATATAAACAACAAATAATTGATGATGACCTATTATCATAGGCCATGATAAGATAGAACTTTATTGGTCCACCAGATGGAATTTGCAAACTTTACAACCGTAAATAAAGTAATTAGAATTAACTCCACCATAGCCATCTGCAACGTTATGGGTTGAACATATTAATAGATCAATAATTATGATTAATTTTTTTTAGTTTTTAATTTTTAATTTTTAATTTTAAAATATTAGTAATAAAAATGAAATGTGTATAGTTAATCTGTGTTTCTCCTTTTTCATACCTTTTAAATCACTTCACAACCCCAAGATTAATCTTGTGAACGTTTGGGAGAGCGGTGACCATTGGACCTGGGCATGGACTAAACTACATTAGTACTACCTCCTCCTTGACCAACTATGACACATAGCTCTGATCTCAACATAATGGAGTTAGTCTGGGAAGACAGTGAGACAGTAGAACTATGGTTCTGAAGATGGCTGGGACAATCTATCTTCTGTGTACCTTGATAAACAGCGTGAAAGTATGCCGAGCAGAACTGGTGCTGTTTCAAAGGCAAAGGGTGGTCACACCATACATTGATTTAGTTTTACTTTTTTTAAATATATATTTACTATACTTTGTGTGAAGTTAACTGAAATGAAACCTATTCATGAAATTACTTTAGAAAGCATCCTCACTTTACTTTTAGCAAGCACATTATTCTATAAACTAAGCACAGACAAAATATACCATATTCTAAGTTGACAATGGTTGTAAGAGTTGCTCGAATAAATCAGTAAAAATAAAATAAAATAAAATAAAATTAATTCATTTGCTAGCTTCGAACCTTTTGTTTGTTGTTGCACTTTATTTTGAAGACGGTAGGCGGAAGTTGTTTACTCTGCTCCGTGTGGTTTGACCGCGTCTTTTAGACCGGAGCACCGTCTGCTGGGGAGAGACAGAGGAAAAGTTAGTCAAGATGGCAAATCCCTCAGACCCGGAGTGAAGGGGCACCGCTCCCCAAAAAGCTGAGCCTGTTGCCCGTCCTGAGACAAACCCAACGATGCAAACTGCGCCAGGAGGTAAGACCCGTCCAGCCCGGTACTTCTAACCGTCGCGTCGACAATTAAGATATTCAAACTGAAGTTTCTGAAGCTTTTTGTCGTTGTTTTGTCCACTCTTCTTGAGTATTTATCCAAGAAAAAAAGACTAACACAACCCTGCTATCTATTTCAACCAGCCTTGAAATTGAAATTACACAGTTTTACCACTTAGCGAACGCTTTTTCATTTCAGTCAATGGCAGCCGTTATTAGAATGTTGTAGCCGTTAATTTTAGCCATAGTTGCAACTTTGCTAACTACGTTAAAGTCACAGTTGTTACATGATTCTAGATAAGAGAAGAGATTGAGACACAAGTAAGGTTATATTTATTCGTTTTTCTTTTACAAACTGCTCACACACACATATACACACACATATATCCGTCAACGGTCATTCGCTGTGTGCTGATGAAGCAAAGTGACAGTTTTAGACAGCGGCTAACGCTCAGCCCTGTAACCTGGAGTCTGCTCCTAGCTTACTCTTATTCGGTGTTTCTTGGTCTAAAACTCACCCCTCCAGCCTGTCCTCGGATTAAAATACAGCTTTATGAGGCTAACCTGTCATTAAAATAACGGAGGGAAGTCGCTGCTAACGTCTCTACAGCACACAGCTCTGCCAACGAGCCGCCGTCGGTGACCCGGCTTCCTTTCTTTGGAAAATTCTGGGATGCAGCGCCAGTAGTACCGACAGCTGTATTTTTAGGAATGGGTGGATACCAAAAACGAAAATTATTTATTTTTGTCTCGGCGGTGAATGCCACAAGCCTATGCGCATAGGCGACGGCGAGGAGGCAACCTATAAATGCATGTATGAGTTATTGAAGGCTGGTTTCTTCAAAGCGGCTCTATTGCAGCAGCACAAAGTCTGCAGAGCTAAAGCAACAGGGACACTGTACTGTCGCATTTCAAGTTAGGCTCTTTTCTAATGCACTGTAAAAGTCATTGCATATGTATGAAACAGAGGAGAGATGTGTATGAAGCCACAGAAAGAATTGTCTGTTAAATATGTGTTTTCTCCCCTACCCCTCCCTTAACATCTAACATCCTCCTGCAGGCGTAAGAGGGATTCCCTGAAGAAAAATGCCAGTGAGGCTGAAGCTGATGTGACACAGCGTGTGCTGGAAGAAAGCTGACTCATCAAATATCAATCCCTCTGGGAGCGACTAAGCAGCCGAGAGCAGCTCATATCTCCTAATGCCTAGCTAGAAGAGCACCTCACACCCCCACCACCAAGGGAGATTAACAGACAGGAGAAGCAGCAGGAATATATCCAACACCGGCTGTGGGTGAAACAAATTTTGGCCTCAGAAGGCCTATGAGAGCCTGGTGTTCTGCTGTCCCAGCTAATAATGACAAAGCTAAGAATGGCAAACCAGCACTTCAGCTGAACTTCACTGACTGACCCCACAGAGACATCAACAACCAGCTGATAAGAGAGCATCATCCTCCATCAGTTTTACCCAAACCATCAGTGTAAAGTTTTGGGGGAAGTTTCTCTCTGAGTCGCTCCCCACACCTTTCAGCCCAGCCCGGCACCACCACAGTCAGTCCACCTTTAACCCGCCTCGCAGACCATGATGTTTCGTGATCAGGTGGGCGTGCTAGCCAGCTGGTTCAAGGGGTGGAATGAGTGTGAGCAGACAGTGGCTCTGCTTTCCCTGCTGAAAAGGGTGAGCCGGACCCAGGCCCGCTTCCTGCAGCTCTGTCTGGAGCACTCCCTTGCCGAATGCACCGAACTGCAGGTCCTGGAGGGAGAGGCCAACAACCCAGGTAGGATAGTCAGCTGCTCAGACACAATCAACTGTTACAGTACATCATCCATTAATATATGATGAAAATGCATTACAGGTACTGACAGACCAGAGCTATGAATTAGTTTCTCAGATTGCATTTTTCTCTGACAAAAACCTAATTCTGCTCTCTCTATGAGGGCAGTGATTTATAAAATAACACACTTACACCTCTTAAAAAACATTTTATTTGTATCTCTAAGATTAAATTTAACATATTTCCCACTGCTGGGAATTGGCAGAAGTTGTTATAAAAGGGAGACATGCTTGTTAAATTGACAAATCTTAAATCTTAAAATCATCCTATGTTCCTATTGGCCAGTTTTCCTGAAGGCACTGTAGTCTCTGACCCTGGAGAAACACATAAGTATAGACTCCATGCAAGCATTAGAAGACATTCCCTGTCCAAGACATTCCAGCATCAAGAGTAACAAATAGCTGAATCACTGATTGTATGAAACTGTGCAAATTTTTGCGCTGAACTGTAGCCAGTCAGTAAACGATTGTGGGAGGAGGTTGGGGTTGTGAATAGTGTTAGCTCAGCTGGCACTGTGGCTGGCTGGAGAGTCAGTCAGTCAGTGTGCCAGCCTATAGTGCTGTAGCGCTCCCTGGGTTGGTATCGCGCCAAGGCACCCAAGGGGGGCTCTGGCTGGGTTTTGTTGCATCAGACTGCAGCGTGGCCATGGAAACAAAAACCCTGGCAACTGACTGGGCTCATGAAAAATAGAATGAAGTGTTGCTGCTGCTGCGATGTAGAGCAGGCGTCTGTGTGTACCTATGGCAACATCTGCATGCAGTAACACATCTGCTGGCTGACACTGTGGCAGCAGACATTACTGGAGTGACATAATAGCCCTGCCCTGCAGTGACATTCACACATTACATAGTTTCCATCAGGGTTTACAATGGGCAGTGGCTGCAGTTAATATAGGCTGGTCTTTGTTATTGTTTAATATAAAGCTGGAGACATCAAAGCATACTATATAAAGTTTCCTTAGTGGAATCCTCCCAAAGTCAGGCTGGTTCATACTGTGAACCAAAACAAATTGAAGACATAGAGAGACTCTCATTTTTGTACTTTTCAGAATACGGTGTATTATGTGTGAGTCAGTGAGTCTTGTCTTGTCTTGTCTTGTGATCTTTGTCACGAAACTTGAGTCACAGTCATATGTCATGCTTATATTCTGCATGAATATTAATTTCCCAGCTAACAAGAATCTGGGAATGAGACATGAAGGAAATATGCTTGTGGGTTGAGTTTTGATTGTGTGTGTAAAATAACATAATCAAAAGGTCTGTGAGTTAAAGATTGATATGATTTGTAGTTGTGATTGGTATTTGAACAAATAGTGTGGAGTGGACAGTAAGACCTGAGATCCATATCATGCTATATTGTCACTGTCACATTTGCCTTGATTATGACGACACTTTGGTTTTAATTGAATATTTCTTGAGGAAAATTGCAGCTCTTCCTCTTTGGCAGTTTTGGCAACGCCTTTCCAAGTGCACTGTGCTGATTACAATACAGCGCCACCATATCGCTGTGATACCACAATTGCAGTTATAAATGACAGATGCTTGTTGGTAAATGGTGTTTTCCATGAACGCACCTGTCAGAGTTTTGTCGAGAGCTGGAGGCGGCACAAAATTTGACAGAGGCAGCGGCCTCGTAATTCTCTATGCAAACCCTGATTGTGACTTTCTGAAAGTAACATCTGTTGCAAACGGTTCAAAGAAATAGCACCACATGAGCAAACATTTATGCAGCATATTATGTTATTAGGCTTAAATAATACCAGTGCTTCGTTCGTTTTGCTGTGCACTCAGCACATTCTGTGACCTGATTTTAATTCGAACGATGAACCAAATTCCCTTTCTTAATAGCAAGTTTTTAACTGTTTATCCTTACCGTTCTTTACTATAAATTGTGTTTTCTGAAGCTGGATTATTTCCCCAAACAAAAATAATACAGAATAGTTTTTCTGTGTTTGTCAGATGAGCCAGTGTCTTTATTTGAGTCTGGTCCCACATTAGAGCTTGTGCTGTTTTTTACTTTGTACAGAGTATCTCCTCAACTGAAACAGTCGGAAGGATTTCACTAAACACAATAACCTAAGAAAAAAAAGTTGAAAAATTCACTGTCAAGCTTTTGTGCCTCTGAACAGACTGATGACAGCCTGAACTCAATGTATCATCAGGTCAGGGATTTACACAGTCAGATAGTCTTTTGTTTGTAATCACTAGTGGTTACACTCATATTTGCATGACTCTTAAAATTAAAAAATACACAGGTAAACTAAGCTACAAGCTCTGATGCTCTGATGTAATAATTGAATCACATTGTAATGGTAAAACTGTTTTCTGTTGAACAAAGACATTTTAATATGAAATTGTTTTCTTGTGTGACATATAAGTGCTGTCAGTAATGGACACTAATAGAGAGCACCACAGAATATCAGTGTGCATATTTCCCTATTTCCAGCAAGTGTGGCTGTGTTGTTTCAGTACATTCTGGCTCTCTACAACAACCTCTGTCATAGTAGATTTTAATGAGCTCCTACCTTCTGTCCCTCCAGACTGAATTTTGGGCCACACCCTTCAGTTTTCTCCCACTTGTGTCAGCTTATGGTCCCTCACCGTCCGCTGATTCAGCTAAATAAAATGGAATCAGTGGGCCTGTTACAGCACCGTAGACTTAACGTCAGGACACATGCTGCTGAAAAGAGGGATATTGAGAAGGTTGTCTGGTTACGTGATCCCTCTGGTATGTTGTGGTAGCTTGTTTGAGTGCTTATGTGCTAGGGTAAGGCTGATGTATTGGTTTGGTGTTTTACTGGGGCAATACTGGTCTTGTATTGATTATGGAGTATTTGCCAGTTTGTAATTATTTCTTACCACAGCTATGTAAGGAGCATATTTTTTTGTTTTATGCTTTTTTTTTTTGTAATGGAAGGAAGCTGGTATCCGCACTGTTGGAGATCTCTGTAAAGATGGATTTTTTTTTAAGGAATTTGAGTGTGTTGTAGAACAATTTTATCTCCATCTCTCACATTTTTACAAATATTTACAGATAAGGGGCTGGGTAAAAGGAAAAAATCTAAAACACCCATCCCTATGGCACTAGAGAGTATGGCATCTCCAGAAAATATAGTTTCAAAAATGTATCACTCTTACCATAATGATTTACCACCACAAGGAAATGGGAAGAGCTATACAATAGAAAAATGAAGACTCGCAATCTGTTCTTACAAATACAACACATAGGTTAATACGGCGTCTTACATCTTATGTCTTACATCAATACCTATCACTCTCCTTCTTAATTACATGAAAAAAAACCAAAACCTCACAGTATCTTCTAAATGTCAAAGATTCAATAAAGAGGCTACCAGTCTGATTCATATGTTATGGGGCTGAGCTTGGATCTATTTCCGAGTAAAACGGTCTTTCTTACACTGATTGCAGCTAAGAAATACATTTTACTACAATGGAAGTCTGACTCTGCCCCCACACAACAACAATAGTGGAAGGAGTTGTTATCATACTGTACTGCAAGAAGATGCACAGTGTGAAGGGAGCGATGGACATGTTTTAGAAAATTTGGGGTTTTGCCTTATAGAATATTCCTGAATTTGATGCAAGTCAGAGGTGAAAGTAAGAAAGAGTTCATTATGACATAATCCTTGTCAGGTGGAGCCAATTAAATGAGGGTTGAGTTTGGGGATTTGATTAATTAATATTTTAACTGTATTATTGTATTGCTACATTGCTTGTTAAGTTGAATGCAATTAAAAAAGGTATCAATAAAACACCCAATACCTGTATTTTTGGAAGAAGGTGATCAATTTAAAACACAGAGTACTGGCAATGTAAGTCTAAAAAAGAGCCATAAATCTAAGTAAAAACTTTTTAGCATCTCCTTAAAATTGTTAATCACTGTAAGCCAAGTCAGTTTAGGAACAAAATCACAAATTGCTCACAACCTTGAGCCCCTCATACACAACTGTTAGTTTACTTACTGATAAGTAATAAGCACTGGTGCAGAAATGAGACTTGCAGGCTGTTAAAGGGTTAACATGCAGCTGGAAGTCTTGGGCTGAGTGGAAAAGCGCAACTATTTGGAAAGCGGTGTACAAATGAATGGAATCCTCAGTGACCTACTTCTTTGAGTGGCTGAGAGGCTGCCTTGTTTTGGGACCCAGCGAGTGATGCGGCTTTATTTGCGACTTGAGATGCAGTTGTAGTCAATGGGATCACTATCTCCCTGAAAGACAGGCAGAGTTGCATGACACAGGATTTGTTTTAATTGTAGTTTTTCATTGACTCCCATTAGTAATGTGGTTACTTTTAAGAGTTTGTGTATTTTTAAGCCTCAATATTTCTATCTGAATCTGACCAGTATAAATTTGTTAAAGGAGAATTGCATTATCTGAGTTTTCATTTCAGCCCCAACCCTAAGTCAACAAGGGAGGTGCCATCCCTAATCAGCCCTATAAATCACTTCACAGATTTATTTGTTTCTAATGGACCACAGTAAAAGTTTAAATCCAGGTTTTCTTTCGTGATGTTTGACGGGAGTAATATGTAGCCTGCAGCATTTTAGTTGTGGTTATTAAGGAATGTAACTTCCTGCCCCCGCCTCCCCTTAAGGAGAACAAAACTTCTTTTGAGACAATCCCAAGAGGGACAATATCGGATCAAGTTGAGAGGACATGAATAGGGAGCAGAGCAGAGCACCGTCTGAAGAACGACACACACACACACACACACACACACACACACCACACACACACACACACACATACACACACACACACACACACACACACTCACACATACACACACATACACAGAGGGTGTAGGGTTAGTGTAAGGGGTGGGGTTAAGAGTGGACAGTGGGGCTGGTGTTCTGAATGACTAACTTCATTTTCGTGTGGTGTACTGCTGACCTGGCCTGCACGGCTGTTTGAGGAAGGAGGC